TTAGTAGGAGAAAGATGTGAGAGTATGTTTTTGCAAACATTTACAACCTTGGAAACCCTATGGGACAATTCTCTGTCCTATAGTGTGACTCTGGTAGCGTAGTGGTTACGAATCGGGCTGCGAACCGCAAGGTCAGCAGTTCGAAACTACCAGCTGTTCCGCGGGAGAAAGATGAGGCTTTCTGCTCCCGTAAAGATTTACAGCCTCGGAAACCCTGTGCAGGGTCGCTATGAGTCGGAACCGACTCCACGGCACATAACAACAACAACAACATAGTGTGACTATGTGTTAGAATCAGCTCAGTGGCAATGGGTTTGGTATTTGGGTCTGACCTATATTACAGACCCAACACTTGTCTGTCAGTTTGTTGTACTGTTGTGGTTTGCATGTTGCTGTGATGCTGGAAGCTGTGCCACCAGTATTTTAAGTACCATCAGGGTCACCCATGGTGGATGGGTTTCAGCTGAGTTTCCAGAGAGGCCGACTATTTCTGAATGTTTAGCCACTGAAAACCTTTGAATAGCAGTGGGATACTGTCAGATAGCACTAGAATATTGCATATTGAAACATGATGACTAGCACCAACATATTACTAGATATAGTGTTAGAAGGTGAGTCTCTTAGATTGGAAGGTACTCAAAATACGATTAGGAAAGAGCTGCCTCCTCAGAGTAGAGTTGACTATGATGACACAAATGAAGTAAACTTCATTTCAGAAACTTCATTTGCCAATAGGACACAACTTAAATGGGGAGAAACCGCTATAAACATCCATTAATAGTCAGGATATAGAATGTACAAGGTATGAATCTAGGAAAATTGGAAGTTGTCAAAAATGAAATGGAATGCATAAAGATAGATACCTAGGCATTAGTAAGGTGAAATGGACTGATATTGGCCATATATGATTTACTGTGCTGGGAATGGCATTGAAGAAGGATGGTATTGCATTCATGATCAAAAAGAAAACATTTAAAGATCTATCTTGATATCTGTGATAGAGTAATATCCATTTGCCTACAAGAAAGACCAATATTATTCAGATTTACTCACCAACCACTAAATTGATGAAATTGAAGAATTCTACAAACTGCTTCAGCCTTAAATTGATCAAGCATGTAATCAAGATGTATTGATAATGACTGATGATTGGAATGCAAAGATTGGAAACAGAGGATGCATCAGTAGTTAGAAAATATGGCCTTGATTACAGAAATGATGCTGGGGATTGCATGATAGAATTTTGTGAGACCAAGGGCTTGATCATTGCAAATACCTTTTTAAAACAACATAAAAGATGATTATACACACGAACTTCACCATATGGAATACACAAAAATGAAATTGACTACGTCTGTGGAAAGAAATGGTGAGAAACCTCCATATCATCAACCAAAACCAAGCCAGGGGCCAATTGAGTAACAAATCATCAATTACTTACATGCAAGTTAAGACAGAAGCTAAAGAAAAGTACAACAAGTCCACGAGAGCCCAAATTTGACATTAAACATATCCCACATGAATTTAGAGATCATCTGAAGAACAGATTTGATGCATTAGACACTAATGATAGAAGACCAGAAGAATTGTCAGATGACATCAAGAAAGAAAGGAAGCAAAAGATCATTAAGATCTTTTCAGGACCTTCATTTGCCAATAGGACACAACTCAAATGAGGAGAAACCACTATAAACAGGAAGAAAGCAAAAGATCATTAAGAAGACAAGAAAGAAGGTAAAAACCAAAATGAATGTCAGAAGAGACTCTGAAATTTGCTCTCCAGATACTGAAGCAAATGGAAGAAATGAGGAGGTAAAAGAGCGTAACAGAAAATTTCAAAGAGCAGCTCGAGAAGGCAAACTCAAGTATTATAATGAAATGTGCAAAGACCAGGAATTAGAAAACCAAAAGGGAAGAACACACTCAACATTTCTCAAGCTGAAGCCTCGACTTGCAATATTGAACGATTCTGTGGAGTCCTGGTGTGGCACTGTGGGATAAAGCACTGGATCACAAGATTGTTATGAACACAAGGTTGGAAATTCAAAACTCACCAGCCATTCCTTGGAAAACCTATGCATGGTTGCTATGAGTTGGAACTGACTCGACAACACTTAACAACAATGAGCAAAGTATTGAATGATGAAGAAAGCATCAAAAGAAGATGGAAGGAATACACAGAGCTACTGTACAAAAAGGAAATGGTCTCTATTTGAACATTTCAAGAGGTAGCATATGAACAAGAGCCAGTGGTACTGAATGAAGCACAAGGTACACTGAAGGCATTGGCAAAAAACAAGGCTCCGAGAATTGATAGAATACAAATTGAATTCTTTCAAGAAACTGATGCATCACTCACTCTTCTATGCCAAGAAATTTGGAAGACCACTACCTGGCCAACTAATTGGAAGGGATTCATACTTATGCCCATTCCAAAGAGAGGTGACCTAACGGAATGCAGAAACCATCAGACAATATCATTAGTATCACATGCAAGTAAAATTTTGGTAAACATATGTTCAAACCAGCTGCAACAATACACTGACAGGGCACTGCCAGAGGTTCAAGCCAGATTCAGATGAAGATGTGGAATGAGGGATATTATTGCTAATGTCAGATAGATCTTGGCTGAAAGCAGAGAATATCAAAAAGATGTTTACTGTGCTTTATTGGCTATACAAAAGCTTTTGACCATGTGGATGATGATAAACTATTGACAACATTGCTGAGAATGAATATTCCAGAACAACTAATTGTGCTCATGAAGAACCTGTACTTAGACTAAGAAGCAGTTATTTTAACAGAACAAAGGGATACTGAATGGTTTAAAAGCAGGAAAGGTGGGTGCTAGGTTTGTATTCTTAAACCATATTTATTTAATCTGTATGCTGAGCAAATAATCCAAGCAGCTGGGTCACATAAAGAAGAATGTGACATCACGATTGGATGAAAACTTATTAACAACTTTGTGATATGCAAATAATACAACTTTGCTGAAAGCAAAGAAAACTTAAAATACTTACTGATGAAGATCAAAGACCACAGGCTTTACTATGGGTTACACTTCAATGTAAAGAAAACAAAAATTCTCACCACTGGACCAATAAATAAATAAGTGGGGAAAAGATTGAAGTTGTCAAAGACTTTATTTTGCTTGGATCCACTCTACAGAAGAAAGATGTGGCAATCTGCTTCCATAAAGATTGATTGCTCGGGAAACCCTATTAGACTGATGTACTCTGCCCTAGAGGATCGATATAAGTCAAAATTGACTCAAGGACTATGGGTTTTAGTTTTTAAATTAACATTTCTATATGAGCTTTCTCCATTTCATTATAATGTAAGCATAATATTTATTGAAATATAATATTTCATAATTTACTTAACCATTCTTCTCTCATTGGACATTTTGATTTAAGTATCACCAAACTAAAACTTCCATCTGGCTCATTTTAATAAAATTATGTTTTAACATTTGAAGTTTTTCTGCTGCAATAGCTCAAACAGGTGGCTTTAATGGACAGAAATGTATTTTCTCAGTCTTGGAAGCTAAAAGTCTGAATTCAAGTCAGTGGCACTAGAGGAAGACTCTGGGAGGAAATCTTGTCTCAGCTTTTCTAGTCTGCCATCCTTGAGGTTCCTGGGTTTGTACACTGTTTTACCTTTAGATAGTGTTGGTCATCTCTCTGTGTGTACTTCTGAGCCTAATCTGCTCATTTATACATTAATCTCAAGTAATTGATCTAAGACACACCCCAAGCTGATAAAACCTCATTAACATTACAAACAAATCCTGCTCCCAAATAGGATCACATCCATGGGTGGTGGGGGTGGTGGTGTGCCTTTGAGTCAATTCTGACTCATAGTGACCCTATATGGGGTTTCAGAGGCTGTAAACCTTTACAGGAAGAGAAAGCCTCATCTTTCTCCTTCAGAACAGTTGGCTAATTCAAACTGCTAACCTTGAGGGTAACCCAAAACGTAACTTCCTATGCTACATTCATGGTATAAAACCCAAAAATAAACCCTTGTTGTTAAGTAGTATCAACTCATATCAACCCTATAAAACTAGATAGAGTTGCCCAGTAGGGTTTCCAATCTTGATGGATACAGACTACCACATCTTTCTCTCATGGAATGGCTGGTGGGTTCAAACTGTGGACTTCTCTTCTAGTTAGCAGCCAGGTACTTAACCACTGCACTACCAAGGCTCTGTACCACAGGTGTGTTGTGTGCCATCGAGTGGGTTCTGACTCATAGAGACCATGTATAGGGTTTCTGGGGCTGTAAATCTTTATGGGAGCAGAAAGCTTCAACTTTCTTGGATCAGCTGGTGGGTTCAAGCTGTTGACCTTGTGGTTAGTAGCCCAATACATAAACCCACTACACCACCAGGGGTTAGGATTTACAAAACATGCTTTTTTGGGATACAATTCAATCCATAACAGAGGGATAACTCAGGTTTATTTGATTCTTAATATTGACAGTGTTGTTGTGGTGTGCCACCAAGTCAATTCGGACTCATAATGACCTTATATAAGGTTTCTGAGAGTGGCTAGTGGGTTTGAACTGCCAACCTTGTGGTTACAAGTCCAGTGCTTATCCTACAGCACCACACTAGGGCTCAATATTGACAGTTGTTAAGTGCCATCAAATTGGTTCTAACCCATAGTGATCCTGTTTCCGAGGAGTAGCTGGTGAGTTTGAACTGCCAATCTTGCATTTCAAACCGATCTCGTGGTCGAGCGCTTATCCTACAATGCCACACTAGGACTCCAATATTGGCAGTAGGCATTGCAATATTAATTCTTAACTAGAATCATCCATTTGAAATAAAGAACTTCATTTTCATGAGAACTTGCTACATCCTTAGTTAGAATCATAACTAAAGCAATAATCAGCATACTGTATTGAATTTTATACAGAAAATGCCTATAGTAGGAAAGCATTGTTTTAATCTGAGTTCATTTGAAAACCTAAAGATTTTTTTTTTTCTACAGATGGTTGGTAAAGGCTTCTTCTTAGTTCAGACAAAGGAAGTGTCAATGAAAGCTGAGGATGCTCAAAGAGTTTTCCGGGAAAAAGCACCTGACTTCCTTCCTCTTTTAAACAAAGGTAAGTAAGATACCTCTGAATAACTGCTATAGTTCTGTGACTTGCTGATTTTTAAAAATTTTTTATTGTGAATTGAGTGAAGATTTACAGGCAAGATTATCAGGTTTACATTCAACAAATTTTTCTTTGTTTCATCTCTGTGGTTACAGTCCCCTTCCTGAAACAACAATTATCCTACTTCCTCCCTGTAACTCCCCATATACATCTTATATTTCATAGATGAACAAAAATATTTGATACACACGTACAAAACAAAACAAATAAAATATATGTACATTTAAATGTGCAAAAGACACATTCTGTAAGCCAGCTGCCTGTCCACAGGTACACAGCCTAGAGCCTGAGCCTGCTTTGTCTCTCCATGCCACCATCTCTGCTGTCACCGCTTTTCTAGGTAGAGATCTCACACTCCACTCATGCTCTTCCTTCTTGATGGTCCTGGGATCATCTGTCCCTGAAATGAAAGATGAACTACTCCCCGCTTTTAGTTACACATCTTCTATAATTACAGCTGTGACAGTCACAATTAATCCTGCTAACAGTTACTTACAATTGAATCGTAAAATCCTAACGCCACCTTTTACCAGATCCATCTGGGAAAGAGGGAAAGTATTCAGTGGGGAATCTACCTTACCCACCTCATTCTGAAACTAAGCACACAAAGAAAGCGTGTAAGCCAGCCAATTCATGCCTTTATAGCACCCCCCAATTTTGATCGCCAATGCCTAAATTGCCCATCCCTGGCAACCCAGTATACTGAGGAAACAAGCTTGTTCCTTGATATTAAGAATCCTTCCATTCTGGTTGGAATTTTGAGCAACTGTATCCAAATGCAAAAGTCTAAATCATCAAATTATAGCAATTTGCACTTGCTCACAGTATCAAACAACTGCATCTAGTTGAGTTCTGGTCAGCTAGCCATCCCAGCTAGGTCAAATGGGTACTAGCTGCAAGTTGGGAGTTCATGCACATCTCCCTGCAATTCAGACCAGCTTGCCACTTCAGTCTCAGCTCTGAGGAGCTAGGTCAGTGCCCATGGGCTCAAGAGTTCATACATTTTCTTAACTTCAGACCAGCTAGGCCTTCCTCTTCTCCCTCTTATCTCAAGGTCAACAAGTATCAATGGAACATGGTCAGACTCAGCCTATGTCTTCATTGCTGTATTTCTCCCATTTCCACTCACAAGTAGACCCACAACTAGATTGCTTGCGGGTTCCCTTTAAGTTTCAGTCCTAGAAGGGGGTTTACCCTGATGGGCTGACTTTTCTTCCCTTGATGCCTCCAAAGCAAACAGCCAAACACTCTGCTTTTATTCTGCAGGTCTTTCTTTCAATAAGAATCTTCTGTTCTCCCAGCAGTCCTGGGTTGGTCTGCCTTTCTTTTCAAGGAGGAATATCCCAACTCAGAAGGTTCTGAATGGAACTCAGGATTCCACCTAAGGCCCCATTTCTCTACAAAGGCTTAACAAGAAGCCTGTTTCCCTGGGCAAATTCTAATTCCCCTTTTAAAAAATCCAATTGATTCTAGGCTGAAGATGGGTTTACAGGCTGTCACCATAATTCCCATTACTCATTTCTGTCACATTTACATGTCTATTTTACAATAGTAAGCAAGGAGAACCAATATCCATAAGACAGTAAAATACATAAACATTTTCCCCCTCTTTTACCAATTACCAATTAAACCTATGTCTCAATCTACATATCTACTCACAGAACACTGTTATTCCAAGCTGTGTATAAATCAGTATTTACCTCTAGCCCATTTAGCACATACATACCTTTCTAAGTCTTCCCCTATCTTCATTGTTCATCTGCCATCCTCTCTCTTCCTGTGTATTGTCCTCCCTATCACCCAAGCTAACATGTGTCTACCCTCTAGCCAGTGAATGATTCTCCCCTCCCTTCCACCTGTGGTAACCATCAAAGAATGTTTCTTTTAGTATGGAAACCTTTTCTTAAACTTTTATAACAATGGTCTCATACAATATTTGTCCTTTTATGACTGACTAATTTCACTCCACATAATATCCTCCAGTTTTCATCCATATTATGAGGTGTTTTTCAGATTTATTGTTATTCTTCAAGGTTGCCTAGTATGCCATTGCATGTATGTACCAAAGTTTGTTTAGTCATTCTTCCATTGGTGGGCACTTAGGCTGTCTCCATCTTTTTACTGTTGTGAATAGTGCTATGATGAACATTGGCATGCATATATAATACCCATAACCTGGCTTTTATATCTAGTGGATCTATACCAAGTATAGGGATTGCTGAGTCATAAGGTATTTCTAGTTCCAACTTTCTGAGGAAGTACCATACTGTTTTCCAGAGTAATTAAACCATTTTACAGTCCTACTGGCAATGTAGGAGGATCCCAGTCTTTGTGCACTCTCACCAGCATTTGTTGTTTTCAGTTTTTTGGTGTTTTGTTTTTTTTTAATCTGCCTTTGCTGTTAATGCTGGTATGAGATGATATCTCATTGTTGTTTTGATTTGCATCTCTCTAATGGCTAATGAGTTCTGGTGTGGCGCTGTGGGCTAATGCGTCAGACTGCAAAGTCATTTGAACTGCCAAGTCGGTTGTTCAAGCTCACCAGCTGCTCCTTGGAAACCCTATACAGGGTTGCTATGGGTCAGAACCAACTTGACAGCACTTAACAAACAACAACAACTGACCGTGAACATTTCTTTATATGTTTGTTGGCTGCCTGAATGTCCTCCTTGGTGAAGTGTCTGTTCATGTCCGATGCCCATTTTTTAATTGGATTATTTCTTTTTCTTGTAGAAGTGTTGTAGTTTTCATAAATATTAGAGATTAGTCCCATCATTGCAAAAATAATTTTTATCCCAGTCTGTGGGCTCCCTGTTTACTCTTGGTGAAATCTTTTGATGCACATAAGTTTCTAATTTTTAGGACATCCCAGTCATCTATTTTGTCTTCTACTGTTTCTGTGGTTATTACAAAGTTTGATAAAATATGTATGCCATGTTTTAGAGCCCCTAAGTTTGTCCCTATGATTTCACTAATGATCTTTCTAGTTCTAGATTTAATATTTAGGTCTTTAATCAATGTTGAATTTATTTTTGTACATGTTGTGAGATATGGGTTTTGTTTCATTCTTTTGCAAATCGATTTCCAGTTTTGCCAGCACCATTTGTTGAAGAGATTATCTTTTTCCATTTAATGTGATTTGACCCTTTGTCAAATTCCAGTTGACTGTACGTGGATGGATTTACTTCTAGGGTCTCAATTCTGTTGCATTGATCTATGTGTCTTTCATTGTAACAGTACCAGGCTCTTTTGACCACTGTGGCTGTTTAGTAAATTTTGACATCAAGGAGTGAGAGGCCTCCAACTTTATTCTTCTTTAGCAGTGCTTTGCTTATCCAGGTGTCTTTCCTTTCTATATAAAGTTCATAATCATTTATTTCCATCTCTTTAAAGAATGTTGTTGGAATCTGGATTGGGATTGCATTGTATCTGTAGATTGCTTTGGGTAGTATTGACATTTTCACAATGTTAAGCCTTCCTATCCATAAGCAATGTATATTCTCCTATTTTTGTAAATCTCTTTTGGTTTCCCATAGTAGTGTTTTATAGTTTTCTTTGTATAGGTCTTTTGTTTCTCTAGTTAGATTCATTCCTAAATTTTTCATCCTTTGGGTGGCTATTGTAAATGGTAATTTTCTTTTCAAAGTTGTTTTTGTTAGTATCCAGGAATACAACTGATTTTTGTAATTGATCTTTTACCCTGTCACATTTCTGAATCTTCCTATGAGTTCCAACAGTTTTCTTGCCAAGTCTTTGGGATTGTCTATGTAAAGGATCATATCATCTATAAATAGAGTTTTACTTTTTATTTGCCAATTTGGATGCCTTTAATTTCCCTTTCGTGCTTTATAGCTCTGACTAAGACTTCGAACCCAATATTGAATAGGAGTGGTGATAAAGGGCAGCCTTTATCACCCTTTAAAAGCAAAGAGAATGCTTTTCGTTTCTCTCTGTTGAAAGTGGTGCTGACTGTTGGTTTTGTATGTTAAGTACTGTTGAGTTGGTTCCAACCCATAGTGACCCTGTATAACAGGGTTTCTGAGGAGTGGCTGGTAAGCTTGAAATGCCAGCCTTTTGGCATTTCATTTCAGCACCATGCCATGACTCCATTGGTTTTGTATATATGTAATTATGTTGGGGAATTTCCCTTCAATTACTACTTTGTTGAGTGTTTTTTATCAAGTATTGTATTTTGTCATATGCATTTTCTGCATCAATTTATATGATCATGTGGTTTCTTTCCTTTTTTTATTTATATGGTGGATTATGTTGATTGATTTTCTAATATTGAATGATTTCTTGTCCCTCAGTCTGTTCACACCCTTTCAAAATGGCACTGGCAGGTCACATTGGTTGCACCAAATCAGAAGTCATCTCCTGTATTACTTCTGTTCAAATTATTTATGCCTTTAGCTGAAGCTCTGAGTTCTGGGACCCTCCTCTGAATCTGTTTCATCAGTTTTCCATATCTTTGCTGAAGAGGGTCTGCACAGCCTAGTTTGCCATCAAACCCTGACTCTGTTTTTCCTTCTTTTCACTCTGTAGTTGTTTTCATTATAGGTTGATATCTCTGATACCCTATCTTCAGTCTTATAGTTATATTTTACTCTGGATATTTCTATGTCTGGATTGAATTCTGAGTGGTGCTGCCATGTATGTCAATCTATGGTTGTTGTCTGCTATTATTGCTTCTCAATCCAAAGGACTCCCTTTGGTTTTTTTGTTTTGTTTTGTTTGTAAAGTTGGCTTTGTTTTTACAAATTCCTTTAATTTCTGTTTATTTGGAAATGTTCTAATTTCACGGTCATATTTGAGGGACAGTTTTGCTGGGTATATGATTCTTCATTAACAGTTGTTTTCTTTCACAGTTTTGTATATGTCTCCCCATAGCCTTCTTGCCTGTATGGCTTTTGCTGAGAAATCAGAACTTAATCTTATTGGTTTTT